TAGGACGCTTCTTCTCTGAGAGAGTTTGTTCTGTGCGATTTTGAAATAGTAGTTATACTTCTTCTAGGTTATTTCTTATTCCTTTCCAGAAATAAGAACTGCAGCTGTTCTTCTGTTGAGCTAAAGAGAAGAAAGATGGTCTTGACAAATGTTACAGCTGAGTAGCTATGAGGAAGAACTGTGGCAGGATCGATTCAGTGTAGGAGGGAGTAGAAGGCATGAAGGTGTTTATCTAGCGAAATCCTCAGCTGAAAGGAGTGGTGTCAGAAAGATAGTGGGTTTTGAATGGTTACTAAGACTGTTGAGGTATAACCAAGAGGGAGCTGGAATTCTGTGAGGAGTTGTGGTCCTTCAGGGCAGGGTTTGTTGGTTCTGGAGCTTCTGGATTAAGAAAGCAATAAGGGTTACATGTGGATATGTTTGCCTAGGTTCTTGGTTTAAGAGATTGACTCATGCTCTTTTCCTTCTTTATTTTGTTTATTTTATTCTTCTCCTGTCTCAATTATAGAAGCCTTCAGACAACAGCATGCTTTATCTTTCGTTTCTTTATTATCTCATACAAACGGTTGAGTGTGTTTTTAAACTTTTTCCCTTTAATGGGTAAATTCAGATGTCACTCAGGTGCTTTAGACCTGGATGTTCTCTTGCATATGACTCTGGATAGAGACTAACTGGAGCTCATTTTAAGTAAAGCTATAAATATTTGTTAATATACTAAGCTTATTGAAGCATATAGCTTCTGCCTACTTTCACAGTGCTAGTGCTCTTTTTACTCTAATTAACTCAGATCCTAAACCATTTCCTTTTGAGGAGAAGAAAATAAGATATGAGATCAGAAATGAATCTTGTTTTCTGACTTACAGATTATCAGAGAAAAAGGAGAATCTTCAACATGGGACAGAATTCAATTTTAATTTCTAAATGTGAGTCATGTAGCTGAACTCAGAAGTGTCTTATTTTAGAGGTCAAATTCTGTTCCTTTGTAGGCATTAAATACTGCTATACTGCTTACCACATTTCTGTTCACTTAGAGGAGCCTAAATCTTAGCTCTGACCTTTCTCTCCCTCTGTGACATCACAGAAATCATACACATTACTTTCAGGTTTCTCAGTCGGCTAGAGGTAGTTTTGAGAACATTCAGCTCTATTACTGAAGGGACTAGGTTATGTTGGCATTAATCAGGTGAAATATAAAGCACCAAGAAATCAGAGAGAGGAGAGATATCTAACAGGTGTAAGGTTATCTGCTAATGACTTTTGAGCATAGGTGAAATCTATTTTAATCACCATGTTACATTTGTTCTGTTTTGCTTTGTCAATATGCCACTTTTGCAGACTAAATGATGTCACCAGGTTTGATGTTCCTTGAGGTCTGCAAATAACCTTTTCTCTTGGAAATTTTTGTTTATGCATTCAAAAAAGCCTTCTGTGGGTCATACTGGAACAAAGCAGATCTACAGTTTTTATTGATGAAATTGGAGCTTTTGAACTCAAATTTTTATCATGCAAGTTAAACAAAACTCTTCTTGACTAAGCACAGGAACTTTGCTGCCCGAGGAGGAGAGAAGATTGTGAAGACAAAAATAACTTACTTTACAAACAGGGTTGGTGATTTGCTTGTTTATGTTTTTGTTCAATTGTTTCTTTTTTGTTGTTGTTGTCTTTTTTTTTTTTTTAATTCTGAGGTTGGTGTTGAATTTTTTGAATGGGCACTGGAATGTGTTGTGGTGGTTTGGGTTATTTGGTTACAGGTTGGGTTTCTGGTTTTTGTGTTTTTGTTTTGTTTTGCGTAATCAGTTCATTATTAAAAGGAAATGTCTGAAATCTGAGGACAATGTTTTAACTATTGCCCTGGATAGATTAAGTGTATTTTGTCTGCCAAAGAACACAAAGTACTTTTAAGTTGCTTAAACAAAAGGTTATGAAATATAGGAACAGATACTGAACTGAATAATAAGAGCTGCACAGTCAAGTCCCTCAGCTAGTCCTAGTGCTGCAGTGTGTTGAATTGCAGACTGAAAAACTGAAGGTCATCTCTTTCTAAAGAGCAAATCCAGTCCAAAAGAAGCAAGCACCTTGCATCAGATAGAGGCCCTTTGAATAAAGGGATGAATTTCCTTCTGCCTAGCAAATCTGCCATAGTGCTTTCTATGAATATGTAAATGGTTTTAACCTGTGGAATGGGAGAAAAGACTCAACTTTTTTTCATATCTTCATGGTATCAGTACTTGTGTATGTGAAGTAGAGGCCAACATCCACAGCAATATTTATACTACATTCCATGGAATTGCTACCAGCTGCTTGTGGAATCTGGGTATAGAATGTATATACATTATACCGTAGTGTGTTCTCCTATTTCACACCTAATGAGGTCAAGTCAGTATGGCAGAAATAAGCATTTATGTGTTTGGCTGGATCAAGGCCCTAATCTCAAAAGTAATGTTAAGTGTCTTGATCTTGGAAGTACTTAAGCTATTCAAAACCTGCCTGAACAACCTGCTGAAGTTGACCCAGCTTTGAGGGATGAACTAGATGATTCCCTGTGATTCTTTAACAGTCTTACCTTTTTGTCAAATTACAGATCGACAAAGATGGGGAGAACTGAATGCTTTGCCATGAGGCAGCATGCCAGTACAGTCTATACGAAATAGCTCTGCAAGTCACTGGAAGTGATCTGGACTTATTTGATCCTATTAGATATTTTGCGGGCTCTTGTCTATTTGTTTACATAAATCACTGTGAGTGTCAGGCAATGCTGAGAAATTTTGGTCAGCTGTTTTATTAGGAAATGACTTGCACTTATAAATTTTTGCTTAATCAGAACAAAATTTGATGGATTATTTTTGGAATAATTACTTGATATGTAAAATGTCTTTGGAGAATATTTAAAGTAATTTTTTCATGTATTCATGTGTGATTGGGTGGACAATGGAAGAGGCCCTAAAAGACATGGATTAATTTAGCATCTTTGCTAGTCAATTGTTGTTGTTGGTTTATTATGCCCTTGTAGAAATCGCTTTACCTTCTGTGCCTTGTTTTCTTTCTCTTTAGATAGTAGATGAGTATCTTTGTTGTATTAAAAGAGCTCTGGGACTCTTTTAATTTTACTGGGGCTCTTAGCAATGTTAAATATTCCAAAAGAAGCAAACTAGATTTTTAAGGGATCCATATAAAGTTTAATAAGTTCTGTAAGAATATTAAGTGCAGCAGAAATGTATGTATAAACCTTGGGTGTTGGTCTAAAATAGTTTATTTTTTAAAGTATAGAATTGCTAATAGGCACAAAAGGGTAGTTTATTTTTAGAGGACTAGTTATTCTGAAAGTTTATGAATGGGGTAGTTAGAATATTTTAGAATAAAGTATACATGAAGACATTAAAAAAACAAGTTGTATTTTTAACTCCTTACCGTTAATTTGTTGATGTTACGATTATGTTACTGTAATGCTGTTAAGTTTAATGTTTATCATCACTAACGTAGTATGTTCAACTGTGTTGTGGAATATCTCGTCAGTAATTGTAGTTCAGCAATGTGTATGCTCTTTGAGTTGTTTTAGGGAATAAGAAAACATCTGAAGCTAATGAAAGGAAGAGCTGTACCCGGTTTTTTTTTTTTTTGTTAGTTTGGTTTTGCCAGGCAGGAAGAATAAGCATGTGATAATAACCACATTCTCACAATACTTAACCCATCCTGCCCCCTAGTATTAAAGAGTACTGAACTTCGGTGTTCTTATGTCTTTGCTTCAAACATGTTAGATTTTCTGAAATAGCTGTAAAATTTCCCATGTAAGATTGTGGGATCTGTAATAGAAGATACAGAACTATTCTTTTTTTTTTCATGGGCAGAAAGTGCCCGGTTCTCTTTTATATTAGATATTTATATTGATTATTTGCTAACAAAACAAAACATTACAAACATTTATATTGCCAAATTTGATTATTATGATAAGAAGTAGTATAGAAACAGTCTTGGAAATACTTGTTATACTTGACTGCAATGAAACGGAGCCCTTGTTACAGCTTTCCTAAATCTGATTTGTTTGAGGCGCATTAGAAGAGGCACTTAAAAAAGCGCAACTTGTGTAAGTTGATAATTTCATCTGTTTACCTAAAGACACTCTTCTCACTTGTGATTATTTTTAATGTTCCTCTATTGAGTGAAGTGAGGAGCCTTACCTGCTGTAATTTAAGGAATTCAAGCATGCTGAATGAAACAAAATTTCCTTGAAATGAGGAGGCATATTTGAAACTGTCAGTTTACTATGAAGTTTGTTTAGCTTCTTGGATGCATGTGAATGTATGTAATTTGCAAGCACTTTGAATAATATTGACAGTAAGGAGCCTTTCAAAAGAACAGGAAATTAAAAAAAAAAAAAAAAAAAAAAAAAAAAANNAAGCATAACCATCCTCCTTTCCTTATCCACAGGATCCCAGTCAAAACCTTATGTAGGTAAAAAAAAAAAAAAAAAAAGAAAAGAAACAAAAAAACAACAGCACAACTAGGCAGCTTAGAGGAAAATTCTTATAGATGCTTTTTTTATAACAAAATGTCAGCTGTAATGCAGAAATAAGAGAATATCAGGGAGTATGCACATTACCATATTGCTTAGAGAAAAGAGAGACATTAAATGCAAGGATGAGGAATTGCAAAGAATTAAGAGATTGTTTTATGCTTCCCATCTTCTCCTTATGGACTGGTTCCATCATGTTATGAGAATTAAGCTTTTCTGTGTTTATGCTGATGTTTTAGGGCTTTAAAAGCTTAAATTGCTTTATTGCCTTAGCATTAGGTCATCTCCATGTTTTATTGTTTTGGGAAGTGAAGAGCGTGGCAGTTGGCAACTTCAGAATGAGTTGTGAGATAACTGACTGCTGAAAGCTTCTGGGAACTGATGTTGAACCACAGGCCCAAACCTGGCATTTTTTACAATTGGAGACTTTTTTATAAAGAAAAGCACTCATATTAAGCGGTTATTTTTTCCTTATCTATTCTCAGGGTTGCTCTTGTGGAAAATATTCCTGAAGGGATCAACTATTCAGACAGTGCACCATCCCACTTGTCTCTTTTCCAAGGCTGGATGAATTTGCTTAATATGGCTGAAAAGTCTGTTGACATAGTATCTTCCCAGTGGGACCTCAATCACAGTCATCCATCAGCATGCCAGGTATGTTCTAGACTAAAAAAAAGATGGGACTTTAACAATCTGTTTTTGTTGTTTGTGAATTGTTTAGAGCTGCAGCCCTTCTCTGTAGAAAACTTAATTGTTTGGGTAGTTTAAAAAACAAACAAACATTTTCTTATGAGGATTGTCCTGCCAAGATATTAGTTTTCTGAGAGTGGTGGCACAGTGGACTAGAGAACACACTCAACACATTTGTATCACTTTCCTCTTAGGAAAGGATATCATTGTATAATCTTAAGAAACTTGCAAAATTGTAACTATTCAAACACATCTGTAATTTGGGAATATCCATAAAACTATATACTTATTTTCTACTTGGTGCAACTGATCAGGTAAAAGAGTATGTGGATTAGTTCTGCAGCCAAACTGATGTGTAAAATTACACTTACAAATTATCTGATAGCAAAAGTATCAGATGATTCTTAATATCTTTTCAAAATGAATCTGAAGGGTGATGAGTTAGGGCTTGTGCAATAAAATACAGTAGGAAAAATCATAAACCACCAGATGAAGCAAGTATGCATTACAGTGATGCTGTGCCAACAAATATATTATTCTTGATAGCAGTCACCTCAGAAAATGGGGAAAGGGCAGATTTCCACTTAGTGTTACCCTGTCAAACTAAGATATCGAAGAAGTGATGGGCTGAGAATATCTTTTTTAATAATGGATTGTTTGCTGGAAAAAGCCACTCAGCTGGAATGGACTTCAATCAAAATCACAATAAACATAAGGAATCTACAATACTATACTATGTCACAAACTTTTCACTTTCCTCTCTAGTTTGGATGATATGTGCAGTAAAAAATGCCTTAAGTTAAGTGGTGGACAGTGACTGGTATTGTCAGCAACCAAAGATGGTGCTTCAAACTGCCTATGTTTTCAGACGATGAACTGAATGGTACTTCTTTTTAGAGAGGCTGTTGCCTGGCTGAAGGGCATACATTCACTTTCTTCAGAATCTACTCTATGTCCATTTAAATGTGTGAAAACCTGAGCTGAGCATTCAAATGGAAAATTTAGCACAAACCCTTCCTTTTATAATGCTTATAAATATTGGAGTAGAGTTCTTGAATAAATTCATTGAATATCAAAATATTGAGGCTTTTCACAATGTAATTATGCAGCTAAGCTTTATTTAAATTCATTGCCTAAGAAACTTCAAACCCATGTTCTGTCATTCAAGCAGATGAATTCACAGAGAATGCCTTAGATGTTTTCAAGATGTGCATGAATTGGTATGTGCATGAATCTTTAAAAAAAAAATTTGTCTGAAAAAATTCAACATGTCATTTGCTTTAAAACCAGCAGAGCCTAACAAATCCCAAACAGAGAGTAAAAATAGCAAACTGGAAATTGGGATTTCAGTAGTTGAGCATCAATTCCATTTACTGTTCCACATTTTCATGCAAAGAACTGTAAGATGTTGCTGAGTGTCAGAACAGGGAAAAGGAAGAAGAGACACATAAGTGAATTTGCTTCTTCATCCTTAAATGCACTGTTTAAGCCAAAAAAAATGTAGCATGTTTTTAGTAATATTCTATTTTAGATTTCTATATAGAATACATAGTAGTCTTACAAAAGTAATTACTTCTGTTTAAAATGTGATTAATATTCCAGTCATTCCCTCAATTGTACAGCAGTGCGAGCTGAACAGCTGATAGATTTTTCTGTCAAGCTTGTCTATTCATCCTTAAACACTGTGCTGCTATTGGCCAATCTAATTGCTAAAGAAATTGACAAAGAGGCAGGGATTCTTAGCAAATTGCTGCCTTAGAGAGTGTGCACAAAGCTTAGTGAGTGAAAAATAGGGAAGGAAACCTGTATCATTGCATCTGCTTTTTAAGGTCATAAAATGGAAGAGAAATGACAGTGAAGCTTCAGTAATTGTTATCCGGTAGTGTTCAAAAGTCAGATATCCTTGGGTCTTTACAAATTTGGATTCAGGGAAATTTATTCTCACATAATAGAAATATTATGCAGGGACTGTTGCAAAACTTCTAGGTACTGTAGTGGTTATAGTTGAGGAAGTTCTAGTTGTTCCCTAAATGATGCTGCTTTTATCAGAAACTGAGAACACAACCATTTTCTTTAGGGACTCACAACCTGCTGTATTACAATTTTCATTTTGTGAATGGTAAGATGTATTACAAAGCAAGTTTCTTTATGTGACCAGTTTAAAAGACATTGATTTTTGGAGGAGAATAGCTGAGTAGGCTAGATTGCTTTTCCTTAACTGCAGGAACTAGCCATGTTCTTTGTGTATGTGTATTTATGGGCACGCATGAATCTATGTGTGTATGTCGTACAAAAACCAAGTGGTTCTGACTTCATCTCTATTTCCCTACCTGTTGTGCTGTTCTCAGATGGCTTGATGGGAGAAGTCTCCCACTCCACCTGAATATCATATGTAAGCCAGCTGTCCAGCTTGGTAATGAAATCTCTGAAGGTGAAAAGTGTGTCATTTGCAGACATGTGTCATACAAGGGTCTTACGTGATTTGTTTGATAGAACAAATGTTTGTGCCAGAGATTAGTTATCCACCCTTTACAATTATTAAAAAATGTTAGTAAGTACACAGAGGATGAGAACATCTGTAAACCTAGCAGCTGCCAGCAGAAATTGACTACAGCCAGCTACAGAAATTTCAGTGTATTTTCTTTCTAATACTTCCAAAGCCATTTCTCCCTGTCAGATGGTGGCATTTTCCTGATATGCCTGATACAAAATGAGACATAAAAACTTTCTCTTTTTAATTTCTATAATGAAAGCATTTTTTTGGACTCTGCGCTTCTAAAAGTTGGTTGGAGTCTATACTAGCTATTTTGCTAGAAAAACACGAGGAGAGCATTTTGAGTTTCTCTGTTTTGCATTAAATAGCAGAAGTTAGATTTAGGGTTCTTTATTTACCATATTGGTTTCTGCCAGCATGCTGTGCTTGTCACTGATGTTTTACAGATATGCCTTAACAATTGATGGTAGGGCAACTTGTTAAAACTCTAAGTAGAACTATAAATTCAGAAGAAAATTCTGGAAGTAACTGGTTTTATTTCTGTTGAAATAAAAAGTTAAGCATTATCTAAATTGTAGATATCTAAGCTTTTGAGGGGAACAGTAATTCACTTTTAGAAAACTTCAGTAAATGCATTTTTTGGTTTTTATCTTCCCTGTTTTATTTTTAATGAGGAATGCAGGCTGACAAAGGTAACAGTAAGCAAAGGAAATCATCCAGGCTGGAATCAGTCTGCCTAGGAAGAGTTAAGAAACTTCTTTGTGGGGAATTTCAGAGTTTTTTGGTAGTTGTAACTTTTTTTTTTATTTTGTTCACCAGCTTGCTGTGGCATGTTGGGACTGCTGTTTGAGATGGATGGTAGCCTAAAGCTGTTTACTTTTTACAGCTTATTTTGTCTTTTTCAGTAGATTTCCTGACACAGCGTTGTGAAAATATAATATTTTATCAGGAGAGTTGTTTTCTTAATGTTATTGTATGCTAAAATGCAAAAAAAAACAGTGAAAGTAGCGTGCTGCATTTCCATGGCATTTGGCTTGTTACTATTTCTCAGTCCTCACAATCTAACTGTATAAGAGTGATTCAGATGGATGTAGTGGCACAGCAGCCTCATATTGTCTCACAGAGAAAGTGTGGTCTATATGACAGGATGAGGGTTTGTATTTAACAGAAGCATTTCAAATGTGCTGACAACAGTGACAAAAATCTTCAGACCTTCTGTCCTGTCTCTTTTCTTTTTCATAGAACAAAACAGTAAAATTGCAAGTGAATGTGTCAGAAAGTATAGAAACTGAGTTTCAAATTAATATTAATGGGAAAAGAAGGCCAGGTACTTCAACAGTGAGAAAGAATTTCTTATGCCCTACTTTACTAAAACAGCTTGTGTATTTCTCATAGTTGTTTAGAATGCCTAGACTTAAGCCTTGGTGAGGATTCTAATATCTGGTGAGGAATTATGCAGCAAGAGATATAAATGAAGGACTTATTTCCAGTTCTGATGCTGGATGATATTTTTTTGTTTTCATGTAGAAACACAGATGTTTGTGGTTAGTGCAGTCCTAGTCTTAGCCACACTTCATGATTCTGTAACAATTGCTACTTAGAGATGTTTATATGTTTTTATCAGTCTGAAGTTTCACTATGTGTGAACATATTTGGACAAAAAAGGACATGATAAACACATAGCTTCTGATGTTCCTGATGGGAAAACAGATGTATTTTCAGAGAAGATGTCTTAATTGAATCACTCCAAATGATGTATTCACCCCTTGGGTGGGCCACTCAGCTGTCAGAGTACCCAGGGTGCTGCACTGGACACATCAGCACATGCTAAGATCAGGTAAAACAGGTCAAGGTACAGGCTGGAAACAGTGCAGTTTGTTGTGGACCCCAGATGTGATTGCAGTCTAGCAGCACTAGTCTGCAGCAATTACAGGAGAGACCCTCTGGGGGATCCAGGGCACCAAGGAATGCTGCTCAGTAGCAGGGTGCTGCTGTCCAGGGGTTTCACTGGAGCTGCTGCATAATTCTGTATGCAGCACCCAACCCCTGCACACTATTATCTCTTTAATTCTTAACTCTGGTAACATCTGCCTTCTTTAATAAATAAATCCTTCCAACTAACATCCTTCACAAATAAATTAAACTAAAAAGATGAGAAAGATCTTTTTAGCTTTGTGACTAATGGGAATGTCTGATTTGCATAGCAGTTCAACAAGGGCTTTTAGGTATGTAAGATAAAATGTGGGTGCTATTTCTTCCAAACAAGAACACCTAGTCATCTCAAAAGTGCTGAGTCTAATAAGTATTCAGATCTTCATGTAGAGCATGCTTTTACTGTTATGTTCTCTTGCTTTCATTGCTGCAGCATCTTGTTGACTGCTAAATTCCTGGAAGCCCTGGGTTGAGCAGGGAGCTATGCTGTGGATTTGAGCCATCAAACAGGCACTAATAGCAGATCTGTGTTTCCACTACAGTCTCTGGCTGCTCTGTAATTTTGAGAAAGCTAGTTTGTAGGAGGCTAGGTATTCTTATTTTGCCATATACATTTGGAAGTGAATCTTAGGAAATGTCTGTACTGTAGACAAATGAAGAGCTAATTTCTGTGACTGCTGAAATCCCAGCAAGGTTCAATTGGACTTCACAGGGCAAAGAGACTTCCCATTGGCTGCTGTTTCGTGGTGTGGTGAGGAAAGAGGGCTTCTGAATTAAACATTCACTCTGTAGAAGTCAACTTTTTCTTTTATTTTTGGACATGGAAAAATATGACTTGATTGGAGATTTTTATTTTTCATGGGAAACAATTGCCTTAATTGCCTTAATCTTGGTTTCTGTAACATGTATGAGGTTCCCTTTTTGTATTCTTTGTTAGAAATAGTGCTTACATAGTAAAAATCATGCATAATAACAGGGAAAATTACATAAAATAAATGTAGATTATTGTCTTTCTGTCTGGTATAGCTCTTCTAAACACGAGCATGTGACTACATGAAAGTTTTTTGCACTATATTTGGAACCACTTAAAAAAACAACAAATAATCAATACAAAAGTGTGTGATGAAGTCTTTTCCATGCACTTTTTATGCTGATTTAACATAACGTAATTGGTTAAAAGAAACCTAATATAAAAATACATTCATGCAGCATCAAGAACTAGACACTTCACTCTCTGTGTGTTGCTTGTTGTCATCAGTGATACTGCACAGCCTGGGAAAAGCAAAAGGCAAGTTTGGCCTTCAGAACAGTAACTTGCTAACCTTCAGTGTAGCTTTAACCATATTTAGGAAGTTACTTACTCACCCACTGTAGTAGGTATGCATATGACATGAATCTTTGATGATATGCCATTTAAACAATACACTGCTTCACCACTTTTGCTTTCCTTTACTGTTCTTTCCAGGGTCAACGTCTTTTTGAAAAATTGCTTGAACTGGCATCCCGAAATATTGAGATAAAACTAGTGAGTGACATACTGCCTGTGGAATCAAAAGTATTAAATGACCTGAAATCAAAGGGTAAGACCAATGTCTTTATGTTGTTATGCCTCTGACTGCTATGTAATGTTCATTTTACTTTAAAGCCAGATGACATGTGAACTGCAAACTACTGTTGAGCTGCGTTGTCCTATGAGCCTTGAGTTTTCTTTGATTCATAGTTATTAAAAGTCTGAAACTCTTACTGTGGCTGGAGTAGATATTTGCCATTTGCACTGGTTAAAAAGGCGATGCGGTGTTTACATAGATGTTTAAATGCACTATAGCCGTACTAATGGTAGGCAGTGCTACCTGAGAAATTGCTGCTATACTCTGTGGGACAAGGTAGTTTCCTCTTTAAAGCAATAACAAAATAATTTATTAAAACATGTCTATGCTACTGATGATTCTGAAGTACAGGAAAGTACTTTTAGTCGGATTTGGCCAACTGACACCGGTTTCTGCGTTATGTGTGTGCCTACTTTCCTAAGGATTGTTTTGAAATTCAAAATCCCTGTTCAAAGAAGAGGTACGCACTGAAGCTACATGACTTCCTTTATGTAAAACTGTCTAAAAAAATAATAAAATTGAAGAGAATTTAAGAAATGCTAAAAGGATCTCTTAAGAATTTTGACAACCTCACACACATTTCTCTTGAATAAAAATACCTTTATTTAGATATTCTGATGAAAGCATTATTTCAATGGTAGGATAAATTTTAAAAGGAATAGGTAATCTGTATATCCTGATAATCATCATTTCTGAGACAGGTTACTTTAATATATGGATCAGAAAGAGAATTCTAAAAAAAAAAAACAAGTTAAATGTTTACTACTTGTGCCAACACCCTAACATATCATTGCATGATAAAGAATAAAGAACATCCTTTTCCAGCCAGAATTAATCTTTGTTTAAATTCCTTATAATCTCCTGACTGGGAAAATAAAACAAAAAATTACTAGTGGAAGTCCTGTTTCACTAAGTGGACTGCCAAGACTGGCATGTTTTTGAGGACTGATGTGTTATTTCAATGTGATCATTGTGGAGACTTGTCACTTCATGACATTGCCTGTTCCAGGACTTTGATTATTTTTACTGCATGACTAAAGGTGATACTGATTCTGAGGCTACATTAGCTTTGACAGACATCTGTGAAATAAGGAATCATATTTTTCTGATGTGTTGAAAAAATAAATGTCTATTATAATATCAACACCAATGAAACTGTCTATTAAAAAAGTCATTTCATTCACCTGTGATTCTGGTGTCCCAAGCTGCACTGAGTCAAATGCAATTAAAGGTAGGGCCTGTGCATTTATGTTGTTGTACCTCACAATTGATATTTTAATTATAATTTATTTAGAATACCAAATATAAAAAAAAATCCCCTTTCCAAGAAAGATGAGCAAAAATTTTAACTGGGAAAGGAAACCGTTTGTCATTAACATTTATGTCAGTTTGTGGGAATTAATTAGATCCGTTAACTTGCTGAGCAAGCAAATAAAACATAAGCTTTTACTATTTTATTAGTTTCAGCTTCCCTTATGACTAATTCAGATTCCTGAGACAGGAAATTTTAGAGTATTCAAATGAAGGGATCAATATAATTGAGTGCTCTGAGCTACTCTGAGAATCAGAGTAACTTTTATGTAGTAATTCTTGTGAGTTTTGTTGCCATCCTCTTAGATCCCTGTTCTACTTTTGGCCTTTTCTGAAGATCAATATTGTAAATTCCTGCTTTTCTCAGTATGGATGCTTTTCCTCATTCTGTATTTTAGTTTATTTCTTCAAATTCTTGAATTTTTGTTAAAATTTCTTAATGATGATGAAATGATTGCCAGCTCTGTTGCCTTACGTTTATATTGGTTTGTTGTTTTTTATTCCCAGGAACTTGTTAATCTTTATTTGGTTCTGCGTTCCTAAGAGACAACTTAGGTTTGACATGCCACTTTCAATTAGAAGGTCAGACTTAATTGTTTATCTGAATTGGGCAGAGGAGGGTCTGAGTACTGTTTCATGCTTCACCAACCTATAAACTCAGCTGATTGTTCCTAAACAGCAAATGTTCATGTAGCCCGGGCTACAAGCAGTAGTGAGGAGAGAAAGCACTTACATAGCTTGTTTGACTTTGGGAGTTTTGCACATTCCAGAGCCTGCCTTCCCCTTGCTAGGTAAGCATAGACTATCATCTTCTTTCTAAAGGAGATTTTGTGAAATAGTCAGACCATTTCTGCATACTAGAATTGTGAAATATCCTGAGTTGGTAGGGACCCACAAGGATCTTTCCTGGTTTCACAAATGACGACCTGGAATTCAAACCTTATTTCTGTGAGCAATGTCCAAATGCTTCTTGAACTCCAACAGACTTTGGGGACATGACCACTGCCCTGGGCAGTCCGTTCCATGCTCACCAACCTCTAGTGCAGAACCTGTCCCTAACCCCCATTGCCTCCCCCCTGATGCAGCTCCATGCCGTTCCCTCGGGCCCTGTCGCTGTCACACAGAGAAGAGCTCAGCGCTGCCCCTCCGCTCCCTGTGAGGAGCTGCAGCTGCCATCAGGCCTCTCCTCAGCTCCTCTGCTCTGAGCACACCCAGGGACCTCAGCAGTTCCTCATACATCCTGCCCTATAGACCCTTTATCATCTTTGTAGCCCTCTTTTGGATGCTCTCTGACAGGTTTCTGTCCTTCTTGTATTGTGACACCTAAAACTACCGGCAGTGCTCAAGGTGAAACCACAGCAGTGCAGAGCAGAATGGGACTGGCAGACTGTCCTAGTGAACACAAGATATAGTTGCTATTACACAGGTTGTGGAAGAGCCTTGTCTTTCTTTTCACCAGTCTGGATGATCAGCACCCATGAGCTGTGCTCCTACTCTGTGCAGGCTGGTTCCTGGGGTCAGAATGAGTGTTAACTTGGGTATCATCAACCACAGGCTGTGCCTGTTCAAATAGTACCTGAGAACCTTTAAGTATGGTGCAGTCAGGGCTTCCCAAACATCACCTGCATTTTCTTAGACCAGGGAGTCTCCCTCACTGTGCATCTTCAGGAAGAGTGCCCTTTTTGACTTCAGTAGCCAATGTAAAAGCCAAAGTTACTGCTTGATGAGCTAAATTTGATCATTCATGATCATTTTTTTGTTTGGTTTGGTTTGGTTTTTTTTGTTTTTTGTTTTTTTTTTTGTACTAAGAACCATAATATTTAACAGCATTACTGCATCTCAGCCCAGATATTGGGACTACAGCTAAAAGCCAGCTTACTCTATCAGGTATTTCATTTCTGTGGACAGGTATGAATGGTGCCTCCTCACTCCATTTCTGATGTACTGCAGAAAGTAGCTCTGATAGATCTTTCCATCCTAGGGGGCATCTTAGAGTCCTCCTTACCCATCCTTCCTATCCCTACTGTTTGACAGAGGAGAAAGTTGAACTCTGACTTCAGATTTGAGCTGATGGGGTAAGACAAAGCTCAGTTTACATGGACAGAAGAGCAGAACAGAAGTGTTGTAGAGTAAAATAAAGTGAATAATTTACAGAACAGTGAGCATGTTTGTACAGATATCTGAGCTACCAGTGAACCTGCAGGTTTTGTCAGCACTTTAGATCTTTTCCTTGCCATGTCTTTGCTATCCTGACTGACCTGAGCTAGCTATAGAAAATGGTAGCTTGATTCCAGAAGCAGCACAGCAAACGCACTGTGAGGCATGAACTGATTTACTCAGCCAACACACCTTGAGCTGCGGTGGTAGGAACCTCTGAGTGCTACAGTAGTATACATTTGCTAATAATTGTTGCACTACAGGAGTGTTATTTAGTTGCAAAATTAGCCATTTGATAGTGAGGAAATACTAGCTCCAGAACATGTATCTATGATAGACTTTAATTACATTATCTGATGCTATATTTTACATGAAATACCTAACTGGTACTTGGTGTAATCTTACCATGTTAGTTAATAAGAAGATTTTTCCATTGTATGAAATGAGAATACATCAAACATTTAATGCCTGAGGGAGAAGATGCTCATTCAGGGCATATTATCTCTGTTGATAATGGGTAGAATCTTTTTTTATCTCGTATTTAATGTATGTCTCCAGGCTTTCTTTATTGCACATCTGCCAGATCCTGCACTGCATACAGAATGATTTATTTCCTCATAGGATTTTCCGTAGTGCTTCTTGCTGTGGTATCTGAGTGCTCTGCAAATACAGTTTTAATGAATTTCTTCTTACAGAATCACTGTTAGGCAGGTCAGTTGCTGCTTCTCTCTCACAGGGACACCTGGCAATTATTAATTCCAGTACTGGCACCAAAAGCTAGATACAAGCATTTGTTTTTTATAATCATAATTGTAAATATGTATGTTCATTTTTTTAAAAAGCGACAGCAAACATGAGTGTGTTTTCCCAACTCTAACACTGTCAAATTTATCACTAAACATATAACTTATGATGCTATTTTTATAGGACCTTTAATAATAGGCAGACTTATGGTGAATTCTTGATTCTCTTTAGTTAAAGCTGTTATTCATTTTCTCACTTACATATACAAATACTATGCATGTATGTGACTGTGTTGTGAAAGGTAGGCCTGCCTCCAGGTAAATTTGGCTCACTGTGTAAACAAACACTTTATCCTTCCTGTGCTGTGACAGTACCTTATTAATGCTTGTTTTCAAGGTTATTGCTTTAGCCTTTTCTCAGCAGTCTTGGTTTACTAGATTGAAACATTTCTCGTAACCCTCCCATTCCTTGCACATAATTATGTACCAGTCTTTGTGCCTCAGTAACATCTGAATGGTATTGTTTTCAATTAGCAGGTTGCTGTATCATTTCTTACATGCACAGAATCTAAGTTCTATGCTAATTACAATATTATTTTAGCTGACAGTATTAACACTTTTTAAGGCACGCCAATGCATTTCCTTCAATTTGTAGGCTTTATTCTTTTTTTTCCTTTTCCCCAGTATTCCTGTTTCATAAATCATTTTTCATATATTTGCAAGGAATGCTTTTTATCAGTGCTTGAGATAGCAGATATGGAA